AAAAAAAAAAAAAAAAAAGACAAAGACAAAGAGGGAGGCCCTAGGCCTAATTAATCCCTAATTAATCCCAGACAGGGGCTGGACAGCTGCACCAGGGGAAAGATCCATGACCAGGCCAGACACCTATAATCCCAGCACTTTGGGAGACTGAGGTGAGAGGATTGCCTGAGCCCACAGGTTCGAGACCAACCTGGGCAACTTGGTGAGACCTCATCTCTACAATAAATCAAGAAAAATTAGCTGGGCCTGGAGATGCAAGCCTGTAGTTCCAGCTACTTCGAAGGCTGATGTGGAAGGATTGCCTGAGCCCAGCAGGTCGAGGTTGTGGTGGCAGGGAATACGCAACTGCACTCCAGCCTGAGTGACAGAGTGAGACTCCAACTCAAAAAAAAAGAAAAAAGGCTGGGCTTGGTTGCTCAGCCTGTAATCCCAGCACTTTGGGAGGCCAGGGTGAGTGGATTGCCTGAGCCCGTGGGTTCGAGACCAGCCCGGGGAACTTGGCGAGATCTCCTCTCTACAATAAAAAAAAAAATTAGCCGGGTGTGGCAGTGTGCCCCTGTAGTACAGATTTCCTGGAAGGCTGAGGTAGAAGGATCGCCAGAGCCCAGCAAGTCAACGTGAGTGTGCCACTGCACTCCAGCCTGGGCAAGAGAGTGAAACTCCAACTCAAAAAGAAGAAAAAAATAGTGTTGTGACCTGTTTTATCAGGAGTCACTGAGATCCTGGCTCAGGCATGGGTGAGGATGGAAGGCGTGGGACAGGAAGACTGGCAGAGGGTGAGTCGTCTGCCTGGGTGGGGACCACTCTCCCCTGCTCCATCTGGCCCAGCCTTGAGGCACCAGTAGGGAAAGTGCTCCCTTGAGCCTGAAAAGACACACCAACCACCAGAAAGAGAAACTGAACCGTTTATTGGCGCAGGCACAGAGGGCATCTAGAAGGCTGTGTGGAGAGAGACAAGCCCATGTCTGGCTCCTTGCCCCCCAAAGGCCCCCTCCCCCAGCCTTGGCATTCACAAGAATTTACTCTGAGGCATGAGGTTTCCCTTCCCAAGGTGAGCTGCACCCCAGCTCTCAAAGGGGGAGATAAGCCAATCATTACAAAGGGGTCTGGACAGGGCCAGACCCCCTGCTTTGGCAGCTTCAACACAAACATGAGGAGATAGAAGGGCATCCATTCAGGGGGGAATGTGATGAGAAGAGGGGTCAAGACATCACATCGTGCACACACGCAGACAGACACACATAAATATACATTTGTACCGTAAAATCCCTTCCATCTATCCACAGGATTTAGTGAAGTCCTTCTGGGGCAGGGTGTCCCCAGGAAAAAACTTTGGCCATCCCCACCCCGGTGCTCCAATCAGTATAACTTAGAAGGAGACATAGCAGGCTCCAGCTGCCTGCCCCCAGCAATCCAGTACTCGGCCTGGCATTGTGGGTGTGGAGGTGTGAACAGCTTGGGGGTGGTTGTTCTTGGACGGGTGTCATCCTGGGCAAACACCCCCCCCCAGAATGTTCTCAGGTTCTGCCCAGCCCCACAACAGGAGGTCCGATGCCCTCCACAGGCTCCCCAACCCAGTTTTTCTGGGCCTTTGGTGATTCCTCTGAGCCCTGCATAGTGTCATACCCCACGAGGTCTTAGAATGGGGAAGGGGGTGCAGATCCCACCCCTGCCCCGTGGTTTCCGGGCATGGGAAGACCCAGAGGAAAGGGAAGAAGCAGCCTCAAGTGGCAGCTGGTGACATTTGGGGAAGCTGTGGATTTGGGCTGAGGAGGGTCAGGGAGGATATCCCTGGCTTCTCAGGACAGCAGTTCCAGGGAAGTGGCATGAAGCTGCCCAGAGAGGGTGGCAGGCGGATACATTCAGAGAGGGGACACTGGTGCGGGGCAGGGGGTACTGCGGTGGGAGAGCACTCCTGCCCCGAGCGCCTCTTGAGTGTCCACCTGCCAGCTGCCACCCTGGGGTTCCCCCCAGGCTTTCCCATGATCCAGTTCTAAAGGGGCTGGGCACCACACTGGCTCCCAGAAGCCCATGCAGAGCTGCCATCTGACTAGCCAGTGCCTCATGGTCATCCCAGGTCTGCAGGGTGGGCATGCCCAGCTCAGAAGCCCCTTATCTCCATCTGAGGTCACCTGCCGGCCTCCCCATGAAGCCCCCCACCACCGTGACCTGGATGTCGGTCAACCTGTCCCTCAGACCACTGTGTTGCCCTCCACAAACGTGGGCGATGTGGGCATGTGTGTGCCCCTCTCCAGCGAGCTGGAGCTACGGAGGGGCAGCAGGAGGTGGCCTGGGGTCCCTCCCCGCCGCCTGGGCACCCCTGCCGCCCGCCGCCAGCACCACAGTGGGCGCAGCACCTCCCGCCGCAGGTCCCGGCTGCGCCATGTGTAGATGACGGGGTTGAGCAGCGAGTTCAGGGTGGCAAAGGCGAAAAAGTAGTGGGCTTTGTAGAGCACCGGGCAGGCACGGACAGAACAGGCATAGTCCAAAAGCAGGATGCTGAAGGCAGGCAGCCAGCACACAATGAAGACGCCCAGCACGATGGTGACCGTCTTGAGCAGGGCCAATGTCTGCGGGCCTGCTACGTCGGCGTGGCTCGAGCGGACCACGCAGTAGATACGGATGTACAGCGCCACGATGGCCAACAAGATGATGGAGAAGATGGTCACCACGCACAGCACGTAGTGCTTGGCGTACAGAGGCAGGACGGTGGAGCAGGACTCGAGGTGGCCCAGGCAGTTCCAGCCGAGGATGGGCAGGCCGCCCAAGACCAGCGAGATGAGCCATGAGGCTCCAATGAGCAGCAGCATACGGCAGCTCTTGTCGCTGCCATACAACTTGACCTTGGCGATGGCCACGTGCCGCTCGATGGCGATGGCCAGGAGGCTGAAGACGGAGGCCGACAGTGTGATGAAGGCAGAGCCCTCGCGGGCGAACCACTGCACGGGAGTCAGCCCCAGCGTCTTGGGGCCCGAGAGCAAGGTGTTGGCCACGAAGGCCACGCCCGCCAGGAGGTCTGAGGCGGCCAGGTTGCCCAGGAACAGGTACATGGCGGAGTGGAACTTGCTGTTGCGTGCCACAGCGATCAGCACCAGCAGGTTTTCCAGCACGATGGCGAGGCAGAGGAGGATGATGAAGGCGGAGGCCACCTGGCGGGAGGGTGTCTCCTGCGTCTCCAACGTCTCCTTGGTGTAATTGTAGTGCTCCTTGACCTTGTCGGGGTTCAGGTACTCCGAGTACAAGCCGCCCATGGTGGGGCTCAGAGGCCAGCTGGGGCCATGGGGCTGTCAGAACTGCGGAGAAGACAGAGAGACAGACAGCACATCAGAGTCGTGGCTACCACCTGGGCTTTAAACTCAACCGGCTGAGGTTCAAGTTCAGCTCTGACCCTCCTCACTGAATGGCTGCGTGAAGTCAGAGCTGGCATCATCATCCCTGCTTTAAAGATGGAAAACACATGCCGAGGAGGGAGGATTGCATGAACCCAGGAATTCGAGACCAGCCTGAGCAACATAGCAAGAGCCTGTCTCTACAAATAATTTTTAAAAAATTAGCCGGGCTCAGTGGCTCAGCCTGTAATCCCGCGCCTTTGGGAGGCTAAGGTGAGTGGATTGCTTGAGCCCGCGGGG